ACTGCAGGGATGTTAGAGCCCAGACTCAGCCACTGTGGAACTCCCATCCTTGGGAGAGCTGCTGATAGCAGCTTGGATAACCATCTTCTGGGAATGATCTGTGCAAAGAGGATCTGCCCTGGGGCAGTGGGGAAGGAAGTCCCTAAAGTGACCCCAGGGGTCACTGCCAGTTGTTTTGGTGCACTGTGACCTCTTCTCGTATCCTTTGTGCTGTAGAAAGAAGAGGTGGAGGACAACGCTGATGCCATCATGGAAGGGGCTCTCATAGCCCGGGACAGGGTCGGGGTGCAGGACTTCGTGCTGCTGGACTCCCACACCAGCGAGACGGCTTTTCTGAACAACCTCCGCAAGCGCTACCAGGAGAACCTCATCTATGTAAGTCGGTGGCATCGATGCTGAGCCTATGAATTCATGTGGCCTATTGCAAGTTAAATGTCTCCAGGTGTAACCTTGTGAGTCGATCTGGCGAGAGCTGTGTGTGTGTGTATATATATGTATAAATATATATGCATACCTCCCAGCATTGGTTTCTTCATGCTTTGCCAAAATTTGTTTAGATGTTCATAGGCTCGTAATACCAAGCAGAGGTGGTACTACCATCTAGTAGTCGTCCTGCCTGCTTTAGCTAATGAAAATAATAGTCTCAACCTGCTCTGATCTTCCTTACAAAGATCCTAATTATACGCACTTGATAGGAAAGGAATGGGCAAGTGAAACTGTGTTTGAAAGCAGAGGAGCACTGAAGGTTTTATGAAGTTTATGTGGTGACTTGCAGCAATAGCTGAGTAGGGAATAGGAGGATGACTTCAAACATGTGCTTTGCAAGGACTGATATTTTCATGACACTAATGGAAAACATCAGAGAGATTGGGGAGGCAGAACAGGGCTACTTTTGACATGCTGAAAGTGTAAACAATTTATGGAAAAGGTAACTTGTGTCCTGAAGTATGTTATATGATCACTTTTCCTGGTGAAATTCCAAGGAATCTCCTGAAAGAAAAAAATCTTAAACACCATGAGTTATCGAAACCGTTTAATTAAAAATATCAGGCTTTAAGCTTGTGTTCATTGTTTGACTCCCCGCTAAATTGAAGGAAGAGACTTTCTTGGCTGTTTTTGTTGGTTCTGATGTGCATGACTATTTTCAGGAGCTGTTATCCTTTCTCCCATAGACATACATTGGCACCCTTCTTGTGTCCGTCAACCCTTACAAAGAGCTGGATATCTACACGATGACCCAGATGCAGCTTTATCGGGGGGTAAACTTTTTTGAACTGCCACCACATCTGTAAGTAGAATCCGCAGGGTTTCAATACGAATTAACCTCCTGGATTGCCTCCGTAATGTCATGCACTAGCAACAAGGATCCAGAGTCTCTGGGTTTGGTGAAGGTTGATATTCATATCTCCCTGTGCATAGGGAGGTGTTTTGTCTCTTGCAGCTGACCATGAGAGTGAAAATGGAGCAAAAAATTACAGAGGTGGAGTGGGGAAGTTGTACAAAAAAGTCTCTGAGATAGTCTTGAAGTTACTATCCAGGCTGGTGCTCCCTACTGCATAGGATCTGCTCTGGTCACTGCCCACCTGTGCGTGTGTGAGTCCAGGGTCTTTCAGTTGTCCAAAGCACTCAAGTTCTCTTGCCCCATGTGGGTTACTAAAAGATGAGCTCAGTGCTCCTGTGCTGCCTCCCCTTGGGCTTCCCAGGTAGGAAGGAAACACAAACTTTAGAATCATGAGCCAGAATTTCACCGTTTGATGGAGAGAAGTTGTTGGGTTTTGCTGGGGTGTGTTTGGGGGTATTAGGTTTGATTCCCTGCCCCAATGGTGGTGAAGGCTCCATTAGTGAATAATTTGTATGTGAATTAATATATGACACTTCCTGAGAAGTTGAGATTTTCCTTGTGCAGATACCAAAACCTGCTTGCCTCCTCTAGAGAAAGGAGTCCTTACTGTGTGGAGACTATATTCACCAGAAATACCTGCAGCCCATAAATCCTGTAGCAACAGCGGAGGAAGGACATGCTAAAAAAATATAAAATGGGTTTTTTACTGTTAGACCCTGAGTGAGACTTTGGTTCTGAGCACTGCTTTCTGGCCAAGCCAGTAGTGTTAGTTAGCCAAGGAGTCTGTACTGAGAAAAACCACCTTCACGTCACCATTTCTAATGCACACTTCTCACCTGCGTGTCTTGTGCTTGCTGTGCAGCTATGCCATAGCCGACAACGCGTACCGGGTGATGTGCAGCGAGTACAACAACCACTTCATCCTCATCTCCGGCGAGAGCGGGGCTGGGAAAACAGAAGCTTCCAAGAAGATCCTGCAGTATTACGCAGTGACCTGCCCAACAACAGAGCAGCTGCAGATAGTGCGTGATCGCCTGCTGCTTTCCAATCCTGTTCTGGAGGTAATAAAGGAAATAAGCAGGAGCGATGATGTGTGTGTACACGCTTGCACTACCAGGTGGCCTCCAATTTTACTGTTTTGAGCTTGCAGAAATTCAGCCTTTATGGGGCACAAATATCCCAGTGCAGTTTCACAAGTTTCAAGGCTGATGCGTGTGGTAGCAGAAGCTGTGAGCACAAGGAGTCTGTGCAGCCAGTTCTTCCTGGCTTCAGTTATAGATGATACAAAACAGAGCTATAATAGCTGTAGTTAAATTCCAGATTCAAGCTAGAGAAATGCATTAATTTATAGTTCTTTAATCTCACTAGCTTCAGTACTAGGACTCAGCTGATGTAGCTCATCTTGGTTACTAGAGCTTTGCCCTGTCTTGGGTGTTAGGTGCTCAGTAAAATGGAACATGACTTGATTTATCCATTTATCCACAGGCTTTTGGAAATGCAAAAACTCTGCGTAATGACAACTCAAGCAGATTTGGGAAATACATGGATATCCAATTTGATTTTAAGGTGAGAACAAACTTAATGGACCAATATTGAAACAAGCTGTATCGGTGAACCTCCTGGGCGCTTTACCAGGCAGCAGAGGATTTATTGACTGAGGGTTACTGACACTGCAGATTTCTGACCTCATTTTTACAGGTCTTGTGAGTGAGGTGGCTAGTTATATATCTTGAAAGCTTTCTGCATTACTGGCAACACAGCCTGTACTCTGTGGAAAGCTAGTATAGATTGCTGTAAAGCACAAGTTATATTAGGACAGCAAACTCCTTGGGTACAACATACACTGCTCTTGGAAACTTTTAAACAAGGCAAAAGACAGTAAATAATAACAGTTATGCTCCCCCAACACTGTTCCTAGGAACCAGAATTTTATTTATATTTTTTGGTGTTGACTTGGTGGCTTTCCTAGGGAGCTCCAGTGGGAGGACACATCCTCAGTTACCTCATTGAGAAATCCCGAGTTGTCCATCAAAACCATGGAGAAAGGAATTTCCATATTTTCTACCAGTTACTGGAGGGTGGAGACAAGGATCTTCTCTGCTGGCTTGGGCTGGAACGCAACCCCCAGAAGTACTCGTATCTCATACAGGTGAGTGAGAATTCGTCCCTCTCTGCATTTTCATCTGGAACTGCAGGGAACTGAAAATACCTTTTTTTTTTTTTTTGGCTTGTTAAAACTATGCGCTGGTAAACTGCTAAGAGAAGCCACTGTGCATCGTATTATCGTGAAACTTGCAGATAGATTGTTTGCAAAAATGTTCATTCTTATTTCTGTAGCAGTAACTGTTCAAGCTGTGGTGGTCTAAGAATGCAAATGGTAAACATCTTTTATGAGATAATATCTTTCACTGGATCACTGATGTAGCTGTGGAGATAGAAACAAAGTTTTGGGCCACATGGCCCAGTGCCAGGTTATGGTTTGTGTAAAGGCTCCCCTTCCAAGGGTCCTTTGAAACACTGGTGTAAGATGAGCTTCTAATTGGGCAAAAGATAAGATTATTTTTATTGACACAGTAGATGACTTTAAGCCCAAGCTCTTCACAAAGCTTAGCCATTTTTATAGGAATCATTGTCTAGGCTCCATGTTTTAAGCAATTATTGCTGAAAGACACAATCAAATGAATCATGTTCTAGATTAGCAAAAATGAAACTATTTGCTATAGCTAAACAGTTTGAAACTGTATTGTTTGCAAGCTGCAAAAGAAACTCTGCAAACTGGAGAAGTGTTAGACCTAGACCAGCCTGTGCTTGTTGATAATACAATTGCTTTACCAGTGAATTGCACTAATTCCCTTTCTTTCACTGTACAGGGTAAATGTGCCAAAGTGTTTGCTATTAATGACAAGAATGACTGGAAAATAGTCCGCAAAGCTTTTTCTATCATTGACTTCAGTGAGAAAGATCTAGAGGTATGTCCAACAAGGAGACTGAGCTTCCGAAAGGGGACTTAAGGAAGGAAAGCACCACTCCATCTCTAGAAGCGATGGAAACATCCTGGCATGCGAGGGGTGTGCGGGATGCAATTGCATGGCCTTTTTGGGAGGGCAGGAGGATGGGAGCAGAGCTCTGGTGCTGGATGCAGCACGATGGCCATCGATGGCAGCACGTCTCTGAGGCGGGTTGGCCAGCTTGCTTCCTTCAGCCCAGCCATGCTTTATCAGCATGGGCAGTGAAGGTCAGAACCACCCCACAGAGCAGTAGGAAACCGTGTTTTAACAGTGCATTTCTTGTTATTAGCATCTCTTTGGAATTGTTGCCAGCGTCCTGCACTTTGGGAACATTCAGTTTGAAGAAGATAGCAATGGACATGCCATCATTCGCAATGGCACTCAGATCAAGTGGATCTCAAAGGTATCGCGCTCTCCTCAGTGTTAGTGTTACAAGTGCTACCAAGAAAGCCTTAATCCTGCTGGTTTTGTTCCTAATGCGGGGGGGAAAAATAATCTGTTCCTAGAAGCAGAATGACTGCATGAGCAGTCCCAGCTCTTGCTAGAAGTTATCTTGAGTTGTATGGCCTCTTTTTTCCATAACCCAGCATGAGAGAACACCTGGATGAGCAGCAGCATCTCCCTGAAGTTTCCTGGCTTACCATTGCTCAATGATGAGCATAAGTGTAATCTACCAATGCTGCTACGTTCCAGAAATGAATGTGAATGGCTAACGGGGTTACACCTTCACAGAAGTGTGTGTTTGTTTTTTTTTTTTTTTTTTTTTTTATAGGAAAGCTGTTTCCTCCCCGTGCTACTTATTTAAACAGAATACTGCTGGTCGTATTTTGAGGGCAAGTATTTCTTTCTCTGCAGCTGCTGGGGGTGCACTTGTCGATTCTGCAGGAAGCTCTCACCCATCGGAAGATTGAAGCCAGATCCGAGGAGGTAATGACTGGACCCGTGTAACTCCAGCCTGCCAAGTGCCAGCCTCGTCTAGTGTTAGTGACAGATGAGGAGCTCTGTTCTTAAGTGTCACAGTAAAACCAGATCTCACTGAGTGTCCTTGTCCTCATCCCTATCACCTGACCCATCAAACTGCTGTGTATGGGCAGTTGAGTGGGAGGCGTTCACAGTGTTCATGTGTTAGGACCAAGTGCAAGCTTTTGTAGAGGAACTGACATCCCAAGCTGGAGATAGACAAGGCTGCAGTAACACTGGTGCTAAATAAAGTTGTAGATGGTTACAGCTCAGGCTGAGCACTGTTGAGGAATGCAATGAGTGCTGGTTCTCCAGTCCAGAGCTGCAAACTGGATTGGCAGAAGGTGCCTCTGATCGTCTGCGTTATTCGTCCCGTCTGACTGACCTTAATTTCTTCTAGGTCCTCAGCCCGTTGAACGTGGACCTGGCGTTCTACGCTCGGGATGCAGTAGCAAAGGCGATTTACGGGCGGACTTTCACTTGGCTTGTCAACAAAATTAATGGCTCTCTAGCCAACAAGGTTGGTTTCTTGTCTAGTGTCTTATGTACCTCCACCACAGACCAGCCTTTCTAGAAAGAGGCCTGACACCATTTGTCATCAAATATCTTAACATAGCTGCCTGTTGCTACAGGAGCATCCCAGAGCACTGAAGACTGTGTTAGTTAAGGGGGAATATTGGGGAATAATGTGTTAAATAGCCTTGGCAGGACATTATGTGCTCAAATGTGATTATTCTGTTGGCACATGATGTGAAGAAGGACAATGAAGAGATTAAATTTAAAAGTGAAGAAAATTATATGAAACTTGTAGGGAAGGAAGAGCTAAAGCTAAAGCAGCAGCTCACTAAGAAAACATTGGTGTCTTTGGCAGGATTCAACCCGGAAAACTGTTATTGGGCTCTTGGATATCTATGGGTTTGAGGTACTGGACACAAACAGGTAAGAGCTCCTGAGCCTGGGTGATCTGTCTTCATGCTGGTGTCAGTGTATGCTCACACACACCCTACCTGGTTCCTCAAGTGTAGTCCTACTGCAGCAAGATGAGCTCCAGGTGAGCTTAGGTGGCCTTTTTTGTCAAACACAGTCCTCAGTCTTGAGGATTTCAGGCCCCCAATGCCCCTTCAGGTGAAAGGGGCTTGCAGAAAGGTCAGCAACACTGGCTGCCAAGGTTGTCAGTGTTTCTGACCCGAAGGAGCTCTCTGATATCTGGACCAGCATTTTGGGAAGATGCTGGGTCTTCAAGATTGCAGCACAGCTGAGAGGCTTCATGCCTAGCAGAGAAGGTGGAGCTGGCCACTTTATTTTTTCTCTCTCCAGAGCTCTCTGATCTGGTTACGGTTTTAAGGGGTTGGTAGGGAAAAGGGAGCAAGTGGTTAAAAAATCTTAGCTCTCTTTGAGACATTATGGGGTTTAATCTGTATAGAAGTGGTCTGTTTGCTTGGAAGAAAGTGTGTGGTGGGTGGGGGAAGCAATGAAACTAAGCCCATGAAGTACTTGGTCTAATGATCATGTAACCACTCTGTGAAGCTTTGAGCAGTTCTGCATTAATTACTGCAACGAGAAGCTTCAGCAGCTGTTGATCGAGATGACCTTGAAAGCAGAGCAGGAGGAATATGAGCTGGAAGGAATAGCGGTAATTTATTATTCCCCTTTTCTATTTGAACAGCTGTTATGCTGAATGCTGTTATCAATGAAAACTTGGTTTTTATTTATCCTGTTCTCTTCTGCCCAAGTTTAAAACTATCCTCTGTGTTTATCCATTTTAAAGACTGCTTCCTATGTGAGTCTGTTGTTCTTCCATGTATCTGGAGCTCTTTCTACCCAGCAGACCCTTTAATTCCCAAATTGGGACAGTTCATTGTTGCATTATTAATGTAGAAAGTACATGATGATTGTGGATCTTATTTTGTAACCCCCTCTTTCTTTGTTATCCCTGGTATAGTTTAGCCTGGGTTTAATTTCCTCTCTCTAAGAAAAGAACAGGGCATTCTCCCAAACTCAATGAAAACGTCCCTATGAAAATAGGAGTTCTGTAGTGGCAAAGTCTCTGAAGGATTAAGTGCACCAGGGTAGGGAATAAGGGAATGGTCTGGGCTGCTGGAAGGGGAAGACGGGCTGTGTGGTCAGGCAGGAATTCTCTCCACTGCCATCTCTCCTCCTCCGCCTGGATAGTTTCAATTCCCTGCACTGATCTTTAGTGGGGCTAGAGAATCTAGCTCCAAAGAACTGAAAAATTGCACAGGCAAAGACCTCCTCTAAAACTGTTCTTCCTTTTTCTTATTAATTCCAGTGGGAACCAATTCCATATTTTAACAACAAGATCATCTGTGACTTGGTCGAGCAGAAATACAAAGGAATCATCTCCATTCTGGTAAGAAGTTTGTGTTCTTTCAGTTAGGATGCCCATGCCTTATTGTGCATACCTCACAGTTGTGTATGTGTAGTTTTCCTCAGATTACGAGTTGTTTCATCCAGACCCAGAGTCTTGTAGCTCCTTCTGGACTCTGGTATCCAATATCATCTCTCACTGTCATTTTGGCTTAGGCGGGCTATAATTAATAAGTGATGAGGCAGAGCATTGCTGATTTGGAAGAAAGAAAAAAGGCAGATTTGACTTGATTTGATTTAACTTAACAGTTCTACTTTTAACAGAAAGAAACAAATCTCTAAATTTATCCAGGAAATTGCTGGTATAAAGTAGAACTCATTTCAAACTGCAGCAAAGATCTTTGGTTCTGTATAACACTGTTATACTACACACTAGTGAGGAAGAGGGCTGGCTGTTATTTGCAGGTCGTTCCGAGCAGAATTCTGACCTGCCGTTTGCTGTTTCAGGATGAAGAATGTTTACGGCCTGGTGAAGCCACTGATTTGAGCTTCTTGGAAAAGTTGGAGGAGAAAGTAGGAGATCATGCCCACTTCGTGACGTATGCACTTATGCTCTGCATCCTACTGCAAAGGAGACAGGGACCCCCCATGCTCTGTTATGAGGAGGGGACACTTTTTCTTAGTAGCAAAGAAAATGAAGATGAGCAGCGTGTCTAGCACTGTAATGAGCTGCCCTGGGGTGTTTAAGGGGGGATGTTACGGGAGAAGGATTTATGCCTTTTTCCAGGGGGCTGCTGATCTTTGAGTCCGGTTTCATTCCACCTTTGTGTCCTGTATTAAAAACAAGGATTAATCCTGTGAATTGGAGGTGACTTTGACCTCCACTGACTTCAGGGAAAACTGTGTCCGCTGTGGAGAGGAGCTAGCGGCTGGGCTGAGGGTACATAAATATCAAGAGCTTGTTGTGATGAGTGTGAGGAGCAGCAGCAGGGATGGAGGAGTAGGGAAGAAACATGTTCTTGAGAGCATCTCCCAAACATGTGTCGTTTTAGTAAATATTTAATTTATAGTAGCTGCGGATTCAGTTGGAGTGGCCAATTAGCATGTTCACACCAGATTGTTCTGGCAGTTCAACAGAAGCCTAATGAAAAGCTCTTGACTACTTGTCAACTCAGAGTCAAGCTGCTGAATTGACTGTTTACAAAACACTGTTTCTGCATCTCTAAAGATCGTTACAAGGAAATGAAAAATGCGTAGCCAAATTCCTTGTCACCACAGTGTGTCTTAATACTGTTCTGCCTGCTGAAAAGCTTTAAATAGAAGTGCTAGAGCTGGTTGCTTACACAGGATCTGTATCTGGCAAAACACTTGGAAGGAAATTTTAATATGTTATTGTACCTCTGTGATACACAAGTCTGTGCAGTTTACACAGCTGAAATTTAATCTGTGAATTTAACTCCTTCCCACTTTCTCTCCTCAAGGAGCCCTTCTAAAAATCTTCCTACTATGGAAAACTTTGTTTTTCATTTTAGGGTAAAATATCTCAAACTTGCGGTTGCCCAAGTCATTTCATTTTGGGGTAAAATATCTCAAACTTGCGGTTGCAGTTTGAAATTGAGGAAGCTGGAGATATTTTTAGCATGTGTGAGATGAGAATATATTTAAATGAAAGGAGATGTTAATACCTCCCGAGTGAGAGAGTGTTTCCAAATAGCTGTGGGTAGCTCATAGGTTTTCTCCAGTGCTCTTCAGCCCTCACTTCTGCTTTGGCCATTCAGGTGGATAATTTTCTGCTTGTGGGACCATAACTCAGTCATGTTGGTAAAGGTCTAGTGAAAATCTGTTCCTATCTGCCATGCAGCTGCTTTTAGCCCAGGCAAGTTCCTGCAAGATGAAGAAATCTCTGCCATTTTTTTCCTTCTTGTTTCTTTCTGCAGTCGCAAACTTGCAGACCAGAAAACGCGGAAATCGATAGACTGGGTGGATTTCCGCCTCCTTCACTACGCCGGAGAAGTCACTTACTGCGCCGTGGGTGAGTGGGATGTCAGCTCTGGAAGCGTCTAAAGCAGCGTGGGCAACACTAACCTGGTATGAGCTATAAAACACCTGCCTTCTGAAGGTGTTTTTAATGGATAGTCTAAAATGTGAATCCCTGGGGCCATGCTTTGAAAGAAAAATCCAGAGGAATTAGTGTTCTATTGCTGTAGAATCCTGATGTTTTTGCAGGATTGGTAAGGATTACAGGATACTTATCTGCACTGAAATGTGGGCACATAAAAAAAATCTGTCAATACTGAGAAAATACCTCTTCCAGTTCTGTTTGATAATGGCTACAGCAGGAAATAGTGATATCTCATTAGGTCAGTAAATGCCATTCCTTGTCATATTCTAACCATATTCCAGAGAGCCAGAACAGGCTGCCGCCCTGATACTGGTTTGAGGTCCTTGATGTAGGAGGAGGTCACTGCCTCCCAGCAAAGCTGGAAATCTTCAGCTCCTGGAACTTCTGTGCTAAAGAGTGTGCCACTCAAGAAGAACTGAAACTTCTTTTTCCTTTCAGGATTTCTTGACAAGAATAATGATCTCCTATACAGAAACCTGAAAGAGGTGAGACAGAAACGGGATGCTGTTTTTGTAAGCTACTCTTTCTGGAGCAAAGACATTTTGCAGGTGAACTGTGGCAAGCAGGAAAATAGATGTGCCCTTGACCGTATTCTTTGGGTATTTACAGAGAACCTGTCTAGGTCTGAAATGAAAACCCTTTCCTGAAATCAAAACCAATGAAAGGTTCTTAGAGAGTATCAGCAAGAAAGAAATATGGCAACTACATGATTTAGTCATAAACTGTGCTGGATTTGGGATGATGAAATTAAGATGAGTTGGACATAGGAAGCTGGGCTGCTTCTGGCCTTAGATGCTGTAGATCAATTTGTAATACAGTATTCGTTGTCCTTCTATGAGACCTGTGCGGCACCTGGCAGTGATATTAAGCATCCGAAAGAAGCCAAATCAGGTGACTGGAGAGATCTTTCTAGTTTTAGGTTGTTTCATGACTCTTAGCAGAGAAATTCATGCAATAATGTCTAGTTTTGTGTGTCCTTCCAGCTGTGCTGTTTCAGCTCAAGTGCATCCCCATGGGGAATATTGTGCCTGCTAAACGGGGTAGCTTTTCATTTATTCTCTTTCAGGTGCTGTGCAACTCTAAAAATGCCATCATTAGAGACTGCTTCTTACTGTCAGAACTAGACAACAGGAGGAGGCCAGAAACTGTGAGTTCCAGCTTTAGTCTTAAATTTAAATATAAACTTGGCTTCCTGATGCATGATTTAGCCTCCGTTCCTGTCCTTTGTCCTGAATTTTTTGCTGGTGTTACATCCCTGCTAGCATCCTGTGTTGCTTAGCCAGCAGCTAGCAATGTGACACATCTTAATATTGTTATTAATATATTGTTGTAAAGAGAGCTCTGTGCAGAGCATCCAGCAAGTTTTAGTTTCTGCAGGGCTACCTTGCGTGTCCATCTGCCTGGCAGGGATTCAGAAGTCCCAGCTAAGCACCCTGTCCAGATAACTTACACTTTGCTGTGCTTCTGCAGCTCAGGGTGGTAATAACGCTTAGATCAGCCTTGAACTTGCAGTCTCAGAGGGCTGCAGTGAATGAGCTGCTTCATGCAGTGGTCGAGCTCCGAAGATGAGAGGTTGTCAAAGTCTTTTTTTTTTTTTTAGGTTGCAACCCAGTTCAAAAACAGCCTTACGAGTCTAATAGAAATACTGATGTCCAAGGAGCCATCTTACGTTCGATGCATTAAACCTAACGACAACAAGGAGCCTGGTAAGGTGTTGGGCTGGATGTGCAGCTGGGATATAGGAATGAAGAAGGGGAGGCCTCAGCTTAGCTAGCAACAGTGAGCAAAAGTATTTCTGGGTTAAGCTAGCGGCCAAGAAGCCACCTTGGGTAATGATGGATCCTGTTTTCCATCCCAGCACGTGGAGCAGTGAGTGAGCTTTTAGTGCTAGTATTTACCAGTGCCTGTGTGTGCTTGCTGCAGGGAAGTTTGACGACCACCTCATCCGGCACCAGGTCAAGTACCTGGGGCTGATGGAGCACCTGCGGGTGCGGCGCGCCGGCTTCGCGTACCGGAGGAAGTACGAGCTCTTCCTGCAGAGGTAAATGCAAGTTACGAGCTCTTCCTGCAGAGGTGAGTGGGGCTGCTCCCCTCTAGCCGGGAGGAACCTGCCCTCCTGGGGCCTTGCCAACTGCTCGAGGACATCCTGGTGGTCAGCAGATTGTGGTCACCCTGCTCTATTTCAAAACATGTTAACTTCAAAGACCTCTTGCTTTATTTATTTACTGGGGGATGTGTGGCTGATGTTTGTGAGGGTTTTGCTTGTTTTTTAATGGTTCTTATTTTCTTTTCTGTATCCGTTTCAATCTGCTTTGACATCATCTGCCTTGATGAAGGCAGTAGCACTGGGGGGGAGCAGGACACCCCTCCAAGCCGAGCTGGTCTGTGGTGACGTCCTGCTCGTCCTCCAGGTACAAGTCCCTGTGTCCAGCTACGTGGCCACACTGGCGTGGGCCGGCAGCGGAGGGAGTGGAGCGGCTCATAAAGCACCTCGGGTACAAGCCCGAGGAGTACAAGCTGGGAAGGTGAGTGCCCTCCCCTGCCTGGGGCCTTGGCTCCGCGGGCTCTGCCTTGCGGCCTCTCCTGGCCCTGGCCTCCAACCACTGACCTCCCAACTGCTGCGGGATGCAGCTGGGGGAGCAGAGTCCTTGGGCCGGCTCCTGTTCGACCACAGCAACTGGGGACTGGAAATCTCACCAGTGACTTTATTCCCCTGTTGATTCGCTCCATCACATGTGCACGGAGCCCGAATGGAGCCCGCTCCCTTCCCGACGGGTTTGGGAGCGGGGCTGCCTCACCTCGGTTGCAGTTTCCCAGGATGTACAAGCGGGCTGAAGGAAGAGAAGCCGCTGTGGGAAGAGCTGCAGCTCCTCAGTCCTGCAGCTGCTCGGAGGCTTGGCCCAGCTAGAGCAGCCAAACTGATGTTTGTTGCAACTAAGCTGCTCATGGTCTCTCTTTCAGAACCAAAATATTCATTCGATTCCCAAAGACTCTGTTTGCCACCGAAGACGCATTTGAATTCAGAAAACACCTGCTAGGTACTGCCCCCTTCCCCTGCCATGTAGCCTAGCGAGCGGGTCAGGGGCATCTTTTCCTAGCTGGGTGGTTTATGTTCTTGTTCCCTGGTGTTTGGGGATCTGGTGTCCAAAGCAGTTTCTCACTATGGGTTTGGAAGCAGAGCTCCTAAATGCTGTGACACTGTAGATACAAGCCATGTCTTTTTTTTTCCTGCAGTTTCAAGACTACAGGCCAAATATAAAGGATGCCTTGGGAAGCGGGAGTACAAGAAGAAGAAGGCTGCAGGTACAGGCTCTGCTCTGCAGCCTGTTCTGCAGGGCAGCAGCACCCTCTGCTGAGCACGGGGGCAGCTTTTAAGACACTTGGTTTATTTTAGAGAATAAAACAAGCCCTTATATGCGGGATGCATCGTGCAGGGTACGTGGGAGCCCGAGTGGTGACAGGGTCAGGCACTGCTGGGGCTTTGGGCTCTGCCGTCCCGCCGCTTGCTGCAGAGAACAAAATGTTCCTGACTCCTTCCCATGCTGATGGGCTGGGAGGAGAGCTTGGAAGAGCCGGCTCGCCTTTCTGCTTGGCGAATTCCCGGGATGCCCCGATGCAGGAGCTCTGGCGCTAACGCGAGGACCTGCTTCATTCCTGCAGCTATCAAGCTGGAGGCTTGCTGGCGAGGGGCTCTGGCGCGGAAGGAGGCCAAGAAGAGGACGTGGGCCGTGCAGACCGTCCGAAAGTAAATAGCGTGCGCGGAGGGACGGGCAGGGGCTGCCTGTGCACGGCGTCCCCGCGCTCGTCCCGCTCCTGGGGTTCTCCCTCTCCATTCCCCTAAGCCCAGTACTTTACGACCATCAGAAGTGGGGGCTGATCATCCTTCTAGGCTCCAAGTCGCTGTATTTTGGTCGAAGAAAAACTTGGAGAGTTTTGTTAATGTTTGACATATTGCAAAACTTCAGGTTTTCGTTACTGCAGACAGGTGGCTGCACCCAAGCGATGGATGAGCCTGTTGCCCACCTTTTATGCTTTCCCTCACATGTTGCACTCGGCAATCAACAAAAATGGAAGTTCTGTTTGGGGATATTTTCTGCAGATTCATAAATGGCTTCATCAATCGAAAGAAACCTCTTTGCCCAGAGAACGTGGAATTTGTGCGGCTCGTGCAATATACCTACTTAATGAAGCTCAGAGACCACATTCCAAAAAATGTCCTGGACAAGAGCTGGCTCCAGCCTCCCTCCATCCTGGAGGAGGTGAGTGGGGCCGGTGGTGACAGCTCCATGGTCACGGGTATTTATACTCGTGGGTGAAGGAGCAGCGATCTGCTGGGCAGGGGAAGCTCCTTGTGGCATTTCTGGCTAGATGTGAACAAATGCTTGCCTGCTACAGCCCTAAAAGTAGCTTCTTGCACAGCTACTTTTCCTTTTTCCTTTTTTGTAGACATCTGAGATGTTACAGAAAATCTGCATTAGGAACCTAGTAAGGAAATACTGCCGAGGAGTCACTGCTGAGAGGAAAGCGCAGGTAACTAATATGTGGAATGTGAATGTGCAAGCTGGAATGTGCATTACCTGAACCCCAACGTGTGCTGTTTAACAGGCCCTGCTTGTTTAACAGACCTTGTTGAGCTGCAGTGCTCACACTGCAGGGACACTTGAAATGTGCAGTGCAAGTCTAGAGATGTGCCGGTCTCAATCTGACAGCGTTGTACCTGCATCTCATAAAAACAGAATAGATCTGTAAATAAGAAAGGATCTGCAAGACTCTTTACCCCTACTACCTCCCTGCATGTTGTAGTACAGGAATAAACTAAAGAAACATGATACAAGTCACTTAGATATTGTGTGAATCAAAGGATAGTATTGTCTAGCAATGCTGCCTGCATTATAACTGCTGATGTTATTAACAGAGGAGCTCTAGGGTGCTAAGGGGGTTCCTTCACCAAACAGTTGCAGCAAAAAGTGGTAGCCAGTGCCATCTTCCGAGGGAAGAAGGAGGGCTACGTGCAGAGCATAACGCAGCCTTTCCTGGACACCCGCCTGAGTGAGTACACTGACCCTCTGGTTGCTCCTTGCTTGGGAAAATCCTCCCCGGTAGAACAGATCCCATTTTCCAAGGGGATGATGCTGACTGGGGGGGTCTGATCTTGGGGTGAATCTTGGGAATCTGTATGGTCGGTGTTAGGCAGTTAGAAAGGAGGAGGAGAGAGCCCTAATGGCACAGGGCAAGGGGGAAGGTTTTGGCAGGTCTGGGAGGACGTAGTGGTAGGTGAAAGTCTGGACTCACTATTGAAGAAGTCAACTCATGCTGCGAGTTACTTGAGGGCATAAAAATCCCTGAGATGGGGTTAGAGTTGGACACGAACACTCGATGTTAGGAGGGAGCGTGCTGTGCCGTGGGGACACTCCTCATGGGACTGCTCGTGGCAGCGCGAGCGCCCCGTTGCCTGCGCTCAGGTCGGGTCTCTGGTTTGCTCTGCAGAGGAGAACGACCTGAACCCCAAGGTGCTGCAGCTAATCCACGGGGAGAAGGTCAAGGTAAGGAAACCATCGACTCGGGATATGAGCGGGTCATGCTAGTGGCCATGGGAGCCGCCGATGGCATCGCGCAGGGCTGGGCTAACGCCAGCCCCTCATTTGCAGTATGTGGTCCCTGTGGTCAAGTACGACAGGAATGGCTTCAAGGCGCGAGAGCGGCTCCTTGTTCTCACCCAGGCAGCAGCGTATGTGGTGGAAATGGCCAAGATCAAGCAAAAAATAGAATACGCCACCTTGAAAGGTAACGGTGTGAGTGGCTGCTGCCCATCAGTGAGCTTGAGGGGGGAAGAGGGGAACCAAAGGACAGACTTTGTAAACTTGGTCCTCCAGAGGCCCTAGAAGCAGGTCCAGCTGACCCTGCTCTCTGATGGGGCTGGGTAAATGCATTCTAGAGACTTAAAGAATTAGCATAGTTTTATTCAACCCTGCTCTCTCCTAGGGCTGGGTAAATGCTCTGCAGACCAGCCCGCAGCTTCCTGAAGTGCTCAGGAGCAGGAGGACCTGGCACCTTGAAACAAGTGAGAGAGAGGGCTGCTTTTTAAGCTGAAAAGGGGCAGGAGCAGCAATTGTTAGAAGTTGGGGAAAGGTCTGGGCCAAAAAATTCATGTGTCATGCTCAAGCATGTTTTGAGTAAATGGATGACAGATATACATAATGCATTCTGAAGACTTAAAGAATTAGCATAGTTTTATTGCTTTAAAGGTGACTAAGCTGGGGAACGACCCGCTTACAAAGGTAGAGTCTCTTCAGGATAACTTGCTTCTGCAACCTGGACAGAGCTCGAGTCACTGCCGTTGCAGGAACAGTGCCCTCCTAGCCGGGAGGATGTCTGTGTTGTGTAACTGTCTTCGGTTGTTTTTCCTCTCCCTGTTGTGTTTCTCTTGCAGGCATTTCTACCAGTAACCTGAGCGATGGGATCGTAGTCATTCATGTTCCTGAGGACAACAAGCAGAAGGTAGGAAGCTGAAACGTAGCTGCTGTGTGTTGTCAGCTACAAGGCCTTGTTTCTAACCACAGTTCTATTATTTTTCCTGTGAAATACTCAGGCCATTGCTGTTGTTTCCTGATGCTTTGGATCTGCTAGTCCTTCAAATTCTCATTGCCTTATTTCTCTGTTGGAGCCCAAGTTCCTATAAATCCCAAATAGCCCTAGAAAGATTTTATAAACTAACTGAACTGATCTGTGATCATTTGGAAGTGGTTTGTAAGTGGTGGTTGGTTGTTTCTGTACAATGTTCTGCTCTGGAATTAGAGAGTTTCCCCACACGAGGAGCTCTTGACTGGCTGACATGCTGGTGTAACGGCGTGACCTGCTTGCTTGCAGGGAGACGTGATACTTCAGTGCGAGCATGTCTTTGAGACGGTCACGAAGCTCTGCATGTTGGCCAACAAGCAAAATCTTGTTAAAGTTGTGCAGGGAAGGTAAGAAACGGCGCCGGGTGGGTAAAAGTTTGCAGGCTGTGTTTTGTGCAAGAATCTGCTTTAAAGACTTTCAGCTCTGGACTGCTTGGGTCAAAGCTATTTATGCTGCTGCAGCAGACAGGGCCTGTAAGCTGATTAGAGCTCTTGCAGTAGCACAGCTGATTTGAGGACGTTGATTTGAGGCACCAGGCCCATGAGGTGGGACACACAGGAGGATAATGTAGTAAAAATCATTCGGATCCATTCCCAGCTGTAGCAAAGCTGCTTCCCCGGTGGCTGCTCCTGTGTGTAGTTAGGTGTGCTGCTCCGAGAGCTGCCTGTGATCCATCATGTACTGCAAAACAGAGCTGTTTCTCTTCTCTCCGGCCTCTGTATTTCACTTGTAATTAGATTCCCTGTATTCAGCAGTTTTCTCCAGGCTGGATCTGCTTATCTTCTAAAGCTTAATTGCACCAGGAGAGCTTGAGCTCGGCCCAGGCTCCGTCCATCACCCTGGTGCCGCAAGGCTATTGAGCAGGAAACCTGCCTGAGCTGGAGGCTTCCGAGCTCCTCCACTAACGGGATTTACAAGGGAGCAGGAATAAGGGGGCTTAGAGCAAAGCCTCGTGCGAGGAGCGGCTCTAACGAGGACCTCCGTGTGCCTCCAGCCTGCAGTTCCGTGTCGGCTCGGGGAAGGAAGGGACCATGATTTTCACCGTTGGGCAGGAGCCTCAGATCTTTAAAGCCAAAACCGGACAGCTGACAGTGGTAAGGAGTGCGGGAACGGGACTGGGATGCTCTGCTCAGCCCTCAGGGAGACCCAGCTGGCCTGGGTGCCTGGTGTGTAAGTGCCTCAAAGAGGCCTCGGCTCCTGTTTGATGCCCAAAAGCTTCCAAGGAAGAGGTAGATACCGGGGTGCAATTCCACCCAGGCACTGGCGCTCTCCAGCCCCGAGACGAAGGGCCTTGGCTTTATTTGTTAAACAGAAACCTCCAACCCCTTTTACCACAGGCAGGGCAGCTGAGAGCTGTAGTGTTTGTACTGGAGCTAATGACTCCTTCCTCTTTCATCCCAGGTGTCAACCCAGGTAAAGTCTTGATGAGAAGCAGGAACTGTTCCTGGTCCCTGTCCGGGCTGGGAGCAGGAAGGAGCCGGCGGGATGAGAGCAGCACCCACCTCTCCGCTGCAGCCTGTGGTGCCATAGGGCTGTGGCGCTGGCACTGGTCTGAGTCAGTGCAGCAGCATTTGAGGCTGCTTCTCTGGAAACCTCAGCACCCGATTTTCCTGTCTCCCAGGATAAGGAGAGCTTTCCCCTCGGAGTATCCCTGCCCTTTCTCTTCCCTGCACAGCAGTTCAGCACGATGCCATCAGATTGAGGAAGGGGAATGGGCAAAGTGGAAGCTAAGGAAAATTCCTTAGCTTGGAGAGTTGCAGCAACCTGCGCTCCAGCTCCAAACCTCTGTGGGGCCTTTGCTCCCTGCTGCAGTCGGAGTCGCTCAGGGGCAGCTACGCAAGGAGGGGGTAGGAGGAAGACAAGAATCTCCCCCTCTGCCGGGAAGCTGCAGCTGGGTGGCCAGGCTGTGTGTGCCCAGCGCTGGCCCTTCTGCCTCACATTGAGGCCAATCTGGGTGGCTCCTGCTCCAGGGTGCTGGGGCCATCCCTGAACTACAGCCTCAGCATCCCTGACTTGCTGCCTTCATCAGCTGCCCCCGTCACTGGCACATCCAAGCAGAGACCAGAAGGTAAAACTAACAGCTGGGGGGAGAATAATGTCTGATATTCCTTCCCCAAATACTTCCTAATTCTGTGGACCAGGAGCAGACTGGGGTAGGGACTGAAATTCAAGCACATAATAAAATAACTCCCCTGTAAATATGAAATTTCCGATTTATTTTGCGTTATATTAAAAAATGAAAAGTACATATTGCAAACGCACACCATACATTAATATCTCACTTAAGCTTTTTTTTTTGCGCATAAGTATAAAAGGGGAAGGAATGATTGTACAGAACAGCTGAATTTGCTACTGTTGTCCACGACGAACAATTTTATTAAGACTAAAAAGGTTCCACTATCCTCTCACTAAAGGGAAGAGCAGAGCTTGGAAAACCTACATGGGGGCTTTGAAGAGGCAGCGTCTGCAGCTGGTGGGGGTTCCAGAACCTGCCTGGGCCTCGCCGTAGACACGGAGGCTGCTGCGGGGCTGGGGGACGCGCGGGATCAACGGGACGGTTCTGCGGGTGCTGCTGCTCTGACACGGAATAGACAGTCCTAAGAGCTGCTCCCAGCCCTCTCTCCAACTGGAAGCCAGAGGCAAAACCCTTTAATGTCAAAAGGCTCCAGAGCTGCCAGCAGCGGGGCTGGCTCTGGGAGCTGCTTTTGCACTAAATCTCTCCTGCCCAAACAGTCAAACCTGCAGCAGGGGCAGCCGGGCCAGCAGGAACGGGGTGCTGCAACCCATGACGAGGCTACAGCCCTGCAGCACAACAGCGACGGGACGGCTAAACCAGGAGTGTATTAAGGCTGAACTTGTGTCCATAAATCCAATACAAATTCCTCATTTACTCAAGCTGTGCCTCAAAACCCCTGGAGTGACTGAAAAACAAAACAAGGACAAAACCTCTACAACCGACTGTACAAGGGTTAAAAGTAACAGTGCCCGCTCCCCCTTTTAAGAACAGAGTTTGTGAAACAGGGACGAGGAAGCGCTGAAGCCAGGTAATGAGCTATTTACAGAGCGGTTTGTCACGCGGGTGCAATCTGCCCCGTGCTCTGCGCCGGGGGCAGCGCTTCGAGGGCGAGAGCCGAGGCTGCCGCCGGGGTCCCCTCGGCAGCCGGGAGCAGGAGGAGCTGGAGCTCTGCTCTCGGCGAGGGGCGGCCTCGTCCTGCACTAGCGCCCCGGCACACTCAAAGCACGTGGAGCTGAAGCCCAGGGCGCCTACAGGCCCCGGCTCCCTCGTGTCACCTCCTCGCAATGGCATCCGGGACTGCCCGGGAGCAGCTGGAGCTGCCGACGCCAGCGGAACCGACGTCAAAACCCCCGAGCTCCCCCCTGCCAGCCGGGAGCTGAGGAAAGGGCAGCCGGGACCCCCTCTGCCACAGCAGCACCCGCTGCCCGGCCCAGAGAAGTCTTTGGTTATTGAAGGAAGTCCTCAGCCTAAAGTCGTGTTTAGTTTTCAGCAGTTCTCCAAAATGGCCCCACAGAGCAAACCCAAGGCTTAATGCTTCATTTTAGCCCCTGAAGCCAGGCCGCACACGGCTTCGGACGTAACCACTACTAGAACTACAAGTGCTGGAGTAACGTGGCTGGTGATGCTGACAACACCTTTGGTATGTCGAGTGCTGACCTGCCCTAATCCCCTCGGAGCCAGGACTGGGAATCCTTGCAGCAGCAAGTTTGCCAAAAGCAACTCACCCCTTCACTAACAGGACTGTGGAGTCGCACCCTGGATGAGATGTCTGCTCATTAAAGCCAGGCCTACATATTCCAGATGAGTCAAAAAACTCTAGGATGGCCCAGGGAAACCTGGTGTCTGCTGGGTGTCACTGGGCTGAAGTTCAATATTTCCTCCTGCAGCTGTGCTCTCCCTCCCAACGCTTGTTATATTCACCATTCACCCTCTCATAATCCTTTAGCATCCAATCCCACTGAATAATGCATGATCTTCCACAGTAAGTGCTACTTGACTCCCTAGTAGGCAACAAGAGACTAGGAGGTAGATAAAATATTAATTAACAGAAAGTACTCTTAGAAAACCAGAATATACCCTTCTCCACACAACATTTTAGCTCTGCCCTTTCACATGCAGCTGCCATTTACTTGAGGAGACTTGGAATATGCTCGGGATGGAGGCACACAAGGAATCTCTGTGCCCTCTGTGCCACCGCCGGCTCCTCCTGACAGACTTTGCAGCCTGTCATGAAGTCCCACCTGGGGCAAACAGAGCTAAGGAAGCCCAGCTCAAAGATCCACAATCCAATGGAAAATAAACACGCCAGCTGAGCCCTGGGGTCAAGCAAAAGGCTCAAGCGCTGACTAGTTGCTGGCAACACCACCTAAAGGAAAAGCAGTCACTACAACTTGTTCCTATCCCTCCTCCTGGAGGAATTCTAACATCTTCCACCCTTGAACTGCACCAGTAAGACACAGGGGGCATGGGGGGGTCTTTACCCTTCAGTGCTGGGAGTTTCACTGAGGCTGGGGGCAGAGCTGCCACCGCTCGTCCTGCTGCCAGCGCTCCAGGAGCACGAGGAGCCCCGTGTCCTCCCGGGCGTCCCCCCAGGCCCTGCAGGGCTCCCTTAGAGAGCAGCACCTCTCCCCGGCCCAGGGGAGGACGGCTCAGCGAGCGCCTGGGGCTGGCTGACATTTGTATCTTGCCTTTTTTTTGTTTGTTTTAAAGTGCAGGATAATTACTAAAGCCGAAGGAAGCCAGCCCTCTTCCTCCCTAGCCACACAATAGCAAAGATGAGAGTGCTAAAAATTCCGGGCACTTCTCCAGATGCTCAACAGGGCCTTACAATACCTACCATAAGCCCAATAACTTTTTTTTATTATTCTGGTTCTAGAACTACGTCACTTAAATACTCCAAATAATCTAGTTTGTTACATAATTTACAGACTTCACTGAACAGAAGTTAAGCTGCCTGGTCATGTACTGTGGCGGAGGGGCTGCTCACTGGTGCAGATGCGCCCGGTCGTCCGGGCGCTTGATGTGGATGCGCCGCACGCGCTCGATGCGCTCGCGCTCCTCGTCCTCCTCCAGGTGGTGGGAGCGGCCGGCGGCTCCTCCCGTGGCTTCCAGGAGGGCGTTGTCGGGTCCTCGCCCGTCCTGCGACTCGTAGAGCAGGATGTTGAGGGTCTCCTCGTAGATGCGGGCCTCGGGGAACTCCACCTGCCCCACAGAAACAAGGTCGCTCCGGCCTCCCGCCACGGGCAGCAGGCACTGCACTTTTTGCACCCAATACCTGTACTTTTAAATTTTCCCAATTGCACTCTGCCTGTAGAAATCCTCCCCAGCACAAATGCTCTTGTTCTTTCATCTGCTT